ACCCCCTGAAGGACTAGGTTCAAGGCAATACTACACTCGCGATGAATACCAGCAAATCTTGACATACGCTAAGAAGAGGCACATTCAAGTCATCCCAGAGTTTGACATGCCGGGCCATAGTCACGCAGCTATCAAATCAATGGAGGCCAGGTACCATAAATTGAAATCACGTGACATCAACGAAGCCAAAAAGTACTTATTGACTGAACTCGACGATCCCTCCAAGTACATTACAGTGCAGTGGTTCACAGACGATGCAACGAATCCCTGTATTGAATCGACCTACAATTTCGTAACCCACGTTGTTGACGCTTTAATAGACATGCACAAAAGTATACAACCGCTGACCCTTTATCACTTTGGAGGCGATGAGGTGGCAGAGGGGGCCTGGAAAAACTCTAGCGCTTGTAAAGCATTAGCGGGAAGATTGGGTCTTGATTTCTCCGCGCATGACATTGTTGATAACTTGAAAGATTACTTTGTTCAACGCGTAGCTAATATTACATCGAGTAGAGGTCTGGATTTAGGTGGATGGGAAGACGGTTTGCTTGGGCCCAATTACGTGCCTTACAGACGAGAGAGGATACAAAACAGGAACGTGTATGCTTACGCATGGAGAGGCGGAGGAAGAAGGACTAATAACTTAGCCAATGCTGACTACAAGGTACTCAAACTATTGCTAAACCTCCGTGAAATTAGAAAAAACAACAACAACAACAACAACAACAACAACAACAACAACACTGAGCAAACAAACATAAACCAAGATAAAACATGAGAACATTAATTTACTATACTCTAGCTGCCCCATATGTTTTTTCTAGCCTTTATAGAGAAATAACCGGTATGACGTCACAAGATGAAAAATAAAGCAATCTCTCATTCTCTTTCGTATTTTTTTATCTTATTACGTGAAAATATCCACTTCCCACAATCTTTTCCCGTTAAAACCTTCCCGTTTGATAAGTGACTCCATTGTTTTGAATAAACGAGTGAAATTTCAAAATATTCGAGTATTTTGCTTGAATTTTTATATGCCTGTAAGTGCCTTTCCCTATTTTCCTGATTATTCCTTCCATATAGAGGAAAATTGCAATATGTTAGCTGTCTTTTCGAGTTGTTCTTGTTTGAGTGCACGCGGAAACGCCGAAGTCCAGGCGCTTTGAATGTCGAACTCTTGGTTTGAACTAAGATGAAATGGATGGTTACCTGAGATTCCTGAACAACCGAAGTCGTATTTGGCTATTTGCAAGAGTTGTTTCGCTCAATACACTAAACAGTATTTCTAATGCATTTAAACGTATGGCTACGGTTTTGCATAAACGATAATGCTTAAATATTTATCAGATTGCTTTATATTCTAGGTAATTCTGTCCCAGGCCACGTACCTTTACTTCGATCACCCTTACGAACCCGACCCTCAAGAGCGTGGATACTACTGGGCAGCACGCTTCACTGATACACGCAAAACATTCAGCTTTCTTCCTGAAAATCTTTACGCCAACGTGCGCGTGGATAGATGGGGAAATCCGCTGACGCGMAAGGAGCTGTGCAAAGAACCAAACTCATGTCCAGAGTTACAAAAGAAAAGCAATATAGTTGGTAGGTATATACTATAATTCTTTTGCGCCAAACATCGGCCATTTCTTTGCAGGTTATTAGTCTGGAATGTAGGTCATCTGGAGGACGTATAATAATACTGAAATCCGATCCAAGAAGTCCATAGAATTTTTTTATTGAGCTAAATATTTTCTGACTTTGGCGCTGCTCACAATTTGATTAGGGAGTTCAAAACAACAGTAAAATCCAAACCTGTTTGGTATTTATGCAGACATGTACATACTGTCATTAGATAGATTGTCAGGATGAKTTCCTGAAAATGACTAACAGACTTAGTGTCTATTGATGGTAAAACCTTGTACTCCCCTATATTTGCTATACGGGTATGTGCCGCTCGATAGGGTCCCTTTGTCGGAGCTCCAAGTCTGAGATAGGGTATCATTTTTTGACCATTTGTCTGGGATAGCGTAGTCTTTTTGTCTGGGATAGGGTTGTAGTTCTGTCTGGGATTGGGTAGTTTTTTGTTTAGGGTATAATCCCATTGTCTGGGTTAGGGTGGAATTTTGCCTGTGATCGTATCTGCTAGGCTTTCAACGCTAAAATAATATACATTTGTACATTTWGTCCGGGGTAGGGTATGTAAAGTCACAAAAATCGGTCCCCCCAGGATTGTAAACTGATTTTTGACAGCAATGCCGTGCATGCCGATGCCAATGCGTGTGTAGTCATTAAAGTTGAGCTTTGACAAGGAGTACGAGATTCAGGGTATGGTACCTAGAAATAACTGGGTCTCGGCAATTTTTGGTAGAATCTCGAGATCTCGGACTGCCAAAAAAAGATCTCGGAATCTAGTGTTTCCGGCAAAAATTTTTTTCTACAAAAAGAACTCGGATTTTGATCAATGCATAATTGCTCTAAATAAATGTTTTTTAGCGTGTTAACTCGATAAACAAGAACATAAAAACATTAATCTCGCTTCTCGGAATTTGGAAATTTTTAACATCTCGATCTCGGATTTTAAAACAGCGATCTCGGCGTCTCGACGGATCTCGGATTTTACCATTCGCCACGAGTACAAGTTTGAAATTCAGCAATGGGTACCCTAATCTTGTTTTCATTTTTGGTCACTCGATATTTCAATTTTTATTACGAGCCAAATTTCAACATCACCAGGAAACACCAAGGCAATAGACCTAATCGGCTATATAACACATTGTCACGTACGTTACCCTCAATAATCCAGTTTCGATCCAATCCAATGCTCTGTGTTAGCCTCATTTGTGCGCAAAATATTCCTAATTGTGATAATAAAAGTGTGAGATTTCATATCAATTCTATTGTCTCTCTTTTCAAATTCCATGCGTTTTCACAGGCTATCAATACAACAAAAGAATATATTACTTGGTTTTGAGTCTAATACAGAGCAAACCAGAACTCGAAATTGGAGTATTCAAATCCTGTGGGAAAAAGAACTTTTGTTTCTAAGCTTTCAACTGTGAAATGAAAATACAACGAACAATGAAACTTACTCCCGGGTGGTTTGAATTTGGTGGAAACGTTTATAGCAACGYGTTAGCCGATTAGGTATATTTGAAATCACTCATGCTAAATCTAACTATCAATTATTACCAGTCATTCGCTAGTAACGAACTTTTGTATTCACCCAAAGGTATGGCAGGAGCTCTATGGACCGAGACAGTGCGCACAGATGACCAAATGGACAGTATGATCTTCCCYAGACTTCTTGCTTTAAGCGAACGAGCATGGCACAAAGCATCATGGGAAGATATTGCTAATGAAGCTCAAAGAGAGAAAGAGATGGTGAAGGACTGGGAAGAGTTTTCAAACTTTCTTGGGYACCAAGAGCTTTCTCGTCTGGATAGATTGGGCGTTAAGTACCGAGTACCAGTTCCAGGAGCAAAGTAAGTGGACTTCACACCTTATCCAAAAAGTGTAGATAACAACCTCGATCTCAGGCCATCACCCCTTTCTTTGACCCCAAGCGAAGGGATTGGGAACGAGGTTGTTTAGATAAGACAATAATATGAAAATTAGGTAATACCTAATAGCGGAGCACCAATAGCTATATAGAAGAGAATGATTATCGAGTACTACACTATTTTTTGAAGATAGCCTAAGTAGAGGAGTGTGGGTTTCCTGTGTTGGTACAGATACGGAATGATGGACAGACGAAAGGACGGACGGAAACGTGCGTACGCRCGGGAACCCTGTGTCGGTCCATGAAAAATGTACTGGATGGATATACTATTGTTATTTCAATTTTGTTTATTTTTGGTAMCTTGAGGACTCGTTAAGTTAGATAATATATGCAAAACTAGTTTCGTTCAATCAGTTTAACGTTAACAATGTACCTTAAAAGGCACATCATTTTGAACTCTACTGTAACTGTCACCGTTAACCGAAGAGAAGTAAGCATTGTGTCAACTAAGGTAATATCGTGATAATAACCTTTGTTTTAGCTCGGGAGCTAAAAGCTACAGAACAATTAAAGGGTCTAAAAATATATAGAGGCTTCCTTTGATCCGCATTTGTCACTATTGCTGGTTCTGGACACAATATTCCTTGTTCTCTAATCGTAGAATTTGTGGAAAAAGCCGTTAAATAAAATTAAAATAAAATTTAATGCACGAACCGAAGTAAGCCAGGGTAGAATGGAGCTATCATCATCGTCATCATTGTGATTATTGATAAAAGGATTTTAACCCTTTTTATTGTGAATTTCTTATTTTGCTAGAATGGATGGAAAGCGGATTGCTACTAAAACTTTGATACCAGGCCTCGTTGTCCAGTACTCTAGGAATGACGGGAAGACATGGCATAACGTCAGCAAGAATACCGAACTCCATGGTAACGTTATCCTTGCCACAAGGTTAGCCATTCTCTCTTCTCTTCTCTTCTCTTCTCTTCTCTTCTCTTCTCTTCTCTTCTCTTCTCTTCTCTTCTCTTCTCTTCTCTTCACTTCTCTTCTCTCTTGACGCTGATTGACGCTTAACCCCACTGAGACCCTCTTGATTTCAGCACAAACTTTAATTTTCCCAACAACACTGATTACTTCTCAACAAATTAAAATGTGCTTAAGTTGTGTGTGCTTTTTTAAAGGTCAGCAGACGGGAGTCGGTTAAGCAGGTCTGTGAAGTTCAAAGGTCCTGTGGTTTCCAAAGGAAGAATTTTGCCTTCCGTGCATGGAATTGTGGGATTGCTAAGCTGGCTTCTTTTCTTTGCTTTTTATTAGAGTTTTATCTCTATATAAAGTGCTACAATCCAGGACAAAAAGGTTGACAATGATTCATCATTCAACAAAGTTCAGGTACCTCTCATTCCACCACCTCCCCTCACCCAAAATTCTTCCACTCCCTCCCCTCCCCCCAAAAGTGTTTCTCGAAACCCAGCTTTGAGCGCCATACAACTTCTGCGCAATCCTCACAAAATTTCCGATTTTTTTGAAAATTGTCAACTCTTTTTGTCCAAGATTATAGGTTACAAACCAACACATTTTACCAAAGCAATTGTCTTGAAACATGATTTCAATGGGCATTAGACACAAAGAAAATAAGCTTGGGATCGACAAGATCAGACTATACACAAGACCTCCAGTTCTTTACATCTATAAAATATATACTTTTTTCGTTTTTCAAATAAAAAACAACTATATTGTTGTGTATGTAATCTTATGTGCACATACACTTGCCTATTCATGAATGCGGATAGAGTCRTTTTCATCTGACTGTGAAATAGGAATTGTATTACTATTACCCCCTAATAGCTCCCAATAACTTAACTTATGRCATGCGACAAACTAATTAGGCAAAAACGGTTTTAATTTTGCGTTTTGGTAGCCTAATACACACTAATAGTTACTGACTAGTAGTAATTGTTTCACAGACGGATGAACTGATGACTCTATATAAATACCACAAAAATTCAGGTTCACTCAATTAACTTAATTGTTAAGTTTAGGGAAATTATCGAGTAAAATAAAGGGTAAGGTAATGCTTRGAGCTGGTTCAAATCCTTAAAGTCATCCTTACAACAAACATTGCAGTATAACTGTCGTAGACATGTTGTAAGGATGACTTACGCAGGTTGCATGCGATAGTTGTAGGCAAACGTTGTACCGTCTAAATCGGCTTTTATTCTCTTCCTAAAATTATTGTTTTCAATTTTTAAAAATTTTWAAAAAAAGGAAAAAAAATCAAGCGGACATTCGGTTGATGAATAGACTGCATGTACATCCGTTTCTCACCCCTCCCCGATTTTTTGAGGGGTGAGAAACGGATGTACACAGGCTAGTTGATGAATTATGAATTCGAAAGTTTGCTTGGGCTTCCTTTGCATACTTGTGGGATTTCTTTGTGTTCAAAATGGCGCTCCTCACTGTTGAACATGATTTCATAACAATTCGCAACTTATCCATGTGGTTCAAAGAACTGCAAAGAACTGCTTTCAATCGCAAATAATCTGTTAAACTGGTTTTTGGCGTCCTTAGCTTTTATATTCAACTTCTAACTGGTTTTTGGCGGCATTGGATCAACACTCAACAGGCAGTAGTCCGTGGACYACAATCACTGTTGATCTTCAAAGGACCTAAAACATCGCTTTTTCAGGTTTTCAGATCAAATAAATAGTACAGAAGGTAAGACAATTGATAAATTTTATAAATGTGAAGATAAAATCGCAATGCTTGATGGAAAAATATAGTTTTTGGAGGCAAATTTGAATATTGATAAAATCTCGCTTCAATGGTCAAAAAACAAAAGGAAACCCGTGTCAAAAATAAATAATAAAAAATGGTAATATTCCTCGAGGTCAATCCACTCATAAAGGTTGTGGTAGAACATTAGACTTGTAGGGAGAGATTATAAGTGCTATCTTCTATTTTCCATCAAGACTGAACCTTTTATGACAATACTGGTCTACTAATATTTACTACATTGCCATTGCCATTGCCATTGCCAGTGTTTTTCAACTCCCACCGTGTTTATATCAGAGGACAGAGACACAAGTGGCCGTTTTATATTTCTTTTATAAAATTTTTCGAGCGAAAAGAAAATTTTGCTGGTAAGCCGTGTCTCTGTCCTCTGATATAAACACGGTCGTCAGCCAATCAGAGCGCGCGTTATATATGAAAATTTTTATAAGATAGATATAGTACCCGAATGGAAATGAAATACTTTGCCTCTGGCTTAGATATAAGATAATAAGCGAATAATATTTGTTCAGAGTTTTCGGTCTGCACGATGCATCGGTATTTTGAAAACACTTCTTTTATAGACGTCTAGATAAAGTTAGATAAGTTAAGCTAGAGGAACATTATTTCATTTCCATTAGAATCGGGGCTGAATTTTTCACATTTAGTACGCGAAGTCAAACGGTAGTATTTTTGGACCACTTATTTTCTCTGATAAATAGCAACGGAATTCTCTCAGGCGAGAATAAAACATCAATGGATTTGTTTTCATAATGTTCAGTGTAATAATAACCAGAATGAACAGAAAACCGAGGCAAGCGACCGCCGAAGGCGAGAGTAACTAGAAATTGAAACTTCAGACTCTCGGGGATGCGATTTCCAGCGTTTTGTGGGTCCTTTGGTATTTTTTATTGAACAGATGTCAGGAGAATTTTAATTAAAGTATGCAATATTCAGAAACACGGCTACTCAAATAAGTCAACATGTGGGATGAAACAAAGAAGCTGTCACGCTAATGTCATTCATCGGTCACGAAAAAACTCTTTTGTATGAAGCTCTTAGGCTGTTTCACTTCACACACATAAACTTTTGATTTATTGTTCATTGTATTAAAGCAGTAGATTGAGATATGCCAATCAGTACATTTGCATGGTAATAAAATGTGTTAATGTAGGAAGGCAGGGGTTTTGCATTTTGTAGATCTGATTTCTGGAAAATAGGACGTAAAAACACAGTCACTTCAACCTCGTCACCAGGGCCCTTTCGGTAGCTATTTTCAAAATGGCGGACGCTAATAACAGAGTAGAAGGGTTTCGCTATAGCCTCCGCCAAAAATAACTACAGAGAGGATGCTGGGGACGAAGTTGCAAAGTCACATGTTCTTTAACTGGGATCTAGTAATGTGAAAACTCAAGCTGTCGTTTATTCGTCATTCCGTCAACAATTCAAGAATTTAAATCAAATGGAGAGAAATAAAAACGAGCCAAATAACAGCTGCGATAGGAAATTAGTAAGTGTTTGAAACAGCSTAACACTGAGCTAATCCTAGACAAAATTGAATTGACAGATCGCTATTACTGCGCTCTAGCAGATGCACTCTCTTATGGGCTGTTTTAATGCTTAYTCAAAGCCTCCCCCCTACCCCCACAGTCAATGTTGATTAACAATGTTGTTGGCGGGAATGTTTCGGTATGAAAGGAGGGTTTGTTTCGAGCCCAACATTGGAAATGGGGGGCCACGGGGGGAAATTGTCTGTAAGTTTTAGTAGACATATAGACATACACTTTGTCCCATGAATTATGTCCGCCAGTACCGGTCAGCGGTACCTAATGTTTTACTCACGTGACCGACTCTCGGTCGGCCATCTTTGTTGATTGTCTCACTCGTGTACTTCGCAGAGTTTATATTCAGTTATAATTTCGCTATTAAAGTTTCCCTGGTTCTGTGTATTGGCTTTTCACTTATTACTAACTGGCGGTCCATGATTGTAGCTTCATATGAAAGTGTGGGTTGACTGTGGAACACAGCATGGATACTATTGAACCACAAGTGACGTTCGTGCGGAAAACTTACCTCTTTTCAGTTCTCTTAATCTTGGCTTAACGGCTTCCATTTTATGAAATAACTTCAGTTGCTTGCTACATAGCTTGATATACATTTTAAAAAATCAGACGAAACTCAAATAATAATTTAATACTAACTAGAAACAATAATAGATTATGAGGGGAATTCCCCGCTCAGGATGACCTTGGCTTATAGTCTACAAATACTGATCGCGTCATAAAGAAGTCGGAAACACAACTGTCCGACAAGGTTGCATACACTCTGTCAAAACGAGGTGCACTCACTCTGAGATTTTTTGGTTTTGCCTGACGGAGTGTTACGAAAAACTTAAACGTCAGAATATCGGTTTTTCTTTCATTTTCCAAAAAATAAAACTTTTAAAAATAATAATTTAAAAATTAAATTAAAAAAAATTAAATTAAATAATTAGATAATCAAAATCAAATAATTTAAAAATTATATCATTAAGAATAATTTTGTTATATTTGTGTATAGAAGAAAGCTGCATATGCTTAAACTATTACCAATAAAAGAGATGGCTTTTTCTATTACAACGAAACGTCTCTGGAGGAAGACGTGTAGACACATCAAAAAAAGAACAGAATGCCTCATATTGGTGATAATTGCYGTTATCTGTTTAAGTGTTATATATCGTCAGTTAACAGCAAAAAAGAAAAAAAGAGGTAAGATAGTCCAAACTTCAGTTTCGAATTCATATTGAAAAACCCCTGCTTTATTTGACTGCAGATTGAGACTAACCCTGTATTCCAAAAATACCTATAAGGTTAGCCTCAACTAGGGAAAAATGTAAATTGTTAGCGCTATTTTACTAACGACATTTTCKCGTGCTTTCTTTTGTGTTTGGTAAGGTCTTTGCATAAGAGAATCTGCTGTCAAGTAAAACAGCGGTTATTTGCTTTGAATTCGAAAACGGAGTATCTATTCTTTACACTATACTTATCTAATTTCGATTGACCGTAGTTATCTTTTCATTGCCGTGCTCTGTCCTTCATTCCGTTTTTCAGCTCTTTTGTCCACTGCTCTCAATCCTACACCAAATCTAGTAAAATTAATAGAGAATCGGACATAAAAATACGTTTTTGTTCGTACTTTTCTTGTCATTCAAAATCATAGCAGGAAAAAAGAAAAGCCTGAGAAACCTTGATGGCAAAACTTGGATTCATTTTTGACTCTTTTTTATACAGTACAACTACAAAGAGAGAGAAAGCGAGCCTTTTTAAGATTTTTCTCGTTTCATCTGGTCCGTACGGGAAAGTATGGCCCGCGTTTTAGCCAATGAAATCGTGTGTTACATCCGAGCTATATAATAAGTGACTATTAATCTGATTGCAAATGCGAGTTATACTGGACTTTCCCCGTGAGTCCTGGAGCGGGTCAAAAGGAGGGCAGGACTGGACCATCTAAYTTCTTGTTGCAGATGTAGACAGAACAGATTGTCAAGCATTATCAAAGAACTTAACGATCAACTACAAMCTACTCAAATATATCAAAAGAGGTGAAGACCGTAGAGGGATTAATAAACATCATGGATTGATATCAATACGAAACACTGGCAAATCTCCAATTCTTKTGGGGAGCGTCGCACTCTATTTTTGCTTCCCAAGAAGATATCTTTCCACCAAATCTAAGCGAGTAAGRCTKGTGCACATCAGTGGGTGTCTCCACAAAATTGAAACACTTTCTCGGCAAGATAGAATTTTTCCTGAGGAAACAATTTTCGTAAAGTACGTAGGAGAATTTACGTTTTGTCTCCGCTCTCAACATTTGACAAATTGGTATCTTGYGTGTGAAAACAATGAAATTGCCATCGTCGAGAATACAAAGAAYTTGAGTTTTGTTGACCTGGGGGAGCCTCCGAGCCAATCTAATGAAAGATATTTCCAAGGTTACACAGGGCCTTCTACACCAGATGAACGGTACGATTTCATTGGGTTTGATCCACCACAGAGCAGCACCACRATGTTTGTAATACCGCAGCCTTTAGATGTTATAATCAATAATAATAGCGTAAGGATGGCTGTTGATSAGAGCTGGATGCTGATCGTAGAGAAAGGATTGGAAACAGAAGCTGAGATACTAAAAGGTACATATTGTACGGAATAACCATAGCACACCACATCAAAGAGTTTCCTTTCAAAAGTTGTCATTCAGTTATCATCCATATATGGTAATTTTACCTACCATATATGGAAGTACGCGTGGTCTCGTTTTTAACAGYATCTTTTCTCCCTTTTAAAGCTTAAAATCGTCTGTAACTCTGAAATATTTTAATGAAATGACTTTTWAACACATAAYTGGTATRCATTCACTAAGGCCAAAACTAAAAAACACAGGGATTCCTCACACATGACAAGCTATGTCGACATTTAGATATGTCAAAAAGGGTTGCAATGGCAGCTATAATTGTTGACAAAACCCTTAGACCATTGTAGCGAATTTCCTCATTTTAAGCAACACCCGCAGACAATTTCATCCCCCCTGACCCCCTTAATGCAATGTTGTCATTGATCATGTTACCATAGTATACAAGCATCCAAAACAAGACCCAACATTGATGAAAGGGGGCTAGAACTGCGAAAAAAATAAAGGAGAAAAATGTTAGGCTAGAGACAAATAATTCTATGCTCCAAGGTTCTACGATTGTAGTTATGTTTTATTGTATTATGTTTTATTTGATTTGCAGACTTTTTTAAGCTTCAAATTGTGTCTCAATCAAAAAAGCCTCGTACTAAATTCATTATGATAAGAACKGGAGATCCTGGCATCAAGAGCGAGAAAATCACTGGTCTAAACATCAATGAAGGATATGAGCTGAGGGTTCGTACTGCTGATAAGTACATCCAAGTGACTGGCAAAACATCAGCTGGGGTGTTTTATGGTATCCAGACGCTGCTTTCTTTAGCTGAGCAAAGTGGTAAGCCTTATGTATAAGCCATGCGTTCAACGCGAATGACACCTGTCAATCAATCAATGAATCAATCAATGAATCAATCAATGAATCAATCAATGAATCGATCAATGAATCGATCAATGAATCAATCAATGAATCGATCAATCATGAATGGATGTATGAATGAATGAATGAATTAATTAATTAATGAATCAATCAATCAATCAATCAATCAATCAATCAATCCATCAATAAATTAATCATTTAATCAATCAATCAATCAATCAAAAAATCAAATAATAATTAAAAACAAATAATCAAATCAAATAATTAAATGATTAAAACTAATCAAATAATTCAAACCAAAATACTTGGATTCCGGATTCCAGGATACTGATTTCGGATTCAAAAGCTTTTTTTTTCTACTGGATTCCGGACTCCGGATTCTCCTACATGGGGCGAAATAACTTAAAACAACCCACCATATGTAACTATGAGACCATCAAGACCTTGCCATTGTTTATTAATTTAATAATTGATGCAATTATTACCTTTTTGTTATCAGATCTTTACGATATTTTAATCAAAGATGCGCCCAGATTTCCATATCGCGGAATGCATTTGGATGTGAGCCGTAATTTCTATTCCAAACAGACAGTGATGCGTTTACTTGACCAAATGGCTCGGCACAAGATGAACAAGTTTCACTTTCATCTGTCTGATGATGAAGCATGGAGAATCGAGATCCCAGGACTTCCAGAGTTAACAGAGGTATGGCGGGCTAGACATCTTTTCTTTCACGACTGTCCTATTGTTTGTTTTTCATTTGTTTTGCCTTCCTCTGATAGTGTTTAATTCTCAATCTAATTGCTATTCATCGCATAGCTGAACTCTCAAATTGTCATTTTCTGAAAATGATATAAAAAGGTCGAWTTCTTTTGAAACAGTTGTATAAAAAGATAAATTAAACAACGTAAAAAAGTAGGTGAAAAMGCTTACTGACGTTTCGGACGCTAATCGACCTGAATCCTTCGTCGGAGAGTCTCCGATGAAGGATTAACGTCCGAAACGTCAGTAAGTTTTTTTACCTACTTTTTTGCGGTGTTTAATATGTCTTTTTATACAACTGTTTCCCACCGATTTCTTTTGAAACACTGTTGAATTATTACATTTGCTACAATCAGTATGGTTCCTAATGTTTATCTTTACCATATCGTGTATTCTTATCTTTCCTACTCCTTCTAAATTTTTTACGATCTTCTGCTTACCATTCATTTCATTATATCATCCTTCCTTGTCCTTTWTTCACAGATTGGTTCCAAGCAATGTCATGATCCCACAGGTCTTAGATGTATCCAACCTCARTTTGGAAGTGATCCACGTGGCWCGGCCTCACCCACCTTCTACACAGTTCACGATTACCAGCAAATTTTAAAGTATGCCAATGAGCGGCATATTCAAGTCATTCCAGAGATCGATTTTCCTGGACATAGTCACGCTGCTATATTAGCGATGAAGGCCAGRTTTAGGATTCTTAARCAGATAGGAAAGTACCAGGAGGCTGAGGAATTTCTYCTGTCKGATTTTGGTGACAACTCAGAGTACCTTTCTGTTCAAGGTTTTACAGACAACACCTTGAATCCCTGTCTTGAATCAACATATCGATTTGCAAAACACGTGATGCAAGCTGTAAAGCGCATGCACAGAGGGATTCAACCGCTGACCACTTACCATTTTGGCGGCGATGAGGTACCTGTCAACGTTTGGAAAAATTCCCCGGCGTGYAATAAGGAGACATTATTTGGGTTGATAGATGAGTAYAGCGAAAAACGCCTAATAATCAAGGAACATTTTGTAAGACGTATGATTAAGATAGCGTCTTCCCTCGGACTCAAACTAGCAGGATGGGATGACTTCTTCCATTCTGATTCTKWGCCAGTTGGTGTTTTCGCAGCTGGTGATATCACAGTCTTTTCTTGGACTAATGAAGGAACTTCAAAGTCGTATGATTTAGCTGAAAAGGGATACAAGGTGACTCTTCTCTTGTTTGTTKTATTTTGTTCTTCCACTCAACTTCTTTCCTTCACTAATCGGCTAACGCGTTGCCTTGTACGTTACCACCAAATTCAAATCCTGCAGGAAAAAGAACTTTTGTTTTTAAGAATTCAACTATGAAATAAAATACAACGAACAATGAAACCTACTCCCGGGTGGTTTGAATTGGGTGGAAACGTTTATAGCAAGGCGTTAGCCGATTAGGTCTATTAACGTACATTTGAGAGATGTCATTTTCACCCTCGTTCATCGTCATCATACATACGCATTGACGTTCTTGTAAAGTTTCATAAATGAAGGTGGCACTTCATTGTAAATATTATCGATTTTTGTTGAATTTTCAAAATCGAGCAACAGCTTCATTGCACGCTCAATTAACGATCGTCTCGCTTCGACGCGAAGGCACGGSTACCTTTCAAGATGGCGCAGAGAAATCGTGGAGAGACTGTTAACAATAAAAAAGATCAAACTCAGGATGTCACATAATAATAATAATAATAATTATTATTATTATTATTAGTATTACTAGTGGACTATTTCCTTCGTTTTGATTGGCTGCGCTACTCGGGGTCTTTTTTCAATTGAGTCATCGACTAGCGAAAAGCGACAACTTTTTAGCGTATTTTTAGCAATAAAAACATTTAATTATTTATATATTTCATTCATGTTTTGTCCAACTAGTATGGTAATACTAAAACAATTCAGATCTCTCGGCCTYGTGGACTACGAGCTGATAGCCCATGAGRCCGAAGGCACTCGTAGTGCACTCGCCCTCGAGATCCAATTGTTAAATAGTAACTATTTAGGTTGTGCTTGTGCCTGCTGTAAGTTACTATTTTGANGAGTTTCACCCAGAGGAGCTTGGGAACGTTTGGGCAACACCTTACAGTGATACTCGTAAGGCATTCGAATCAATTCCTGACTTCTGCAAAGCTGCTGGAGCATGCGGAGATTCCACGGTGAAAGTACATGGTGAGTATGACCAAGTATTCTTTAAGGGTGCTTTCCATTTAGGCAGAACTGGCCGGCCAGTCCACTCTATATTATATAATGTTATATGTTATAGTTTTATAATGCTTTTTGTCAACATTTTTCAGTCATTTYGAGGTTTTCTGTAGAATAATGGATAGAATTTGAAAATTTGAATTTCCTAACTAAATGGGAATGATATATAATGACATTTTCTCTGGGTCTGGCCAGCCAGTTCTGACAAATGGAAAGCGCACTAAGTATACAGAGTCAACATCTAAGTATTACTCAGCTCATCTTTGGAACCAACGGTGGAACGGGATCAGAATGCAATATGTTCTTAAAGGCACTAGCAGAAAAACTCGCTAAGAAAACTAATAACACATATGCAGAAAAAATTACTTACATAAGAACAAAGTTATCCTTTGAGACCATCAAATCTATTAATTTATGTATACGTGGTTCACGAGTCCCCTTTTACAAGAACAATGACTTTTTATTCGATTTTAAATTAAATGTAAACTCTGCAGATATTTGAATTAGTTTTTTTTTCGTAAATAATAGGACGTTTCTTTAGTAAATTATTTAATGTAAGTTTCATTCTTTTTACTAATTAATTAATGCATAGTTATATTTATAAATTTTAATCGTTATCATTATTATTGTAAAATTTAATATTTTAGTAATTTTTTAAACTTTTTTCTATAATGTAATTTTTAGAATTTTTATATAATTATTGTTAATTGTGAAATTATTTGTGAATAAATAGAGGATATTACATGGGCGCGCGGAGATACGGATTTTATCTTCGAGTGTTGAAAAGATCTCACACGAGTAAGCGTAGCGAACGAGTGAGAGATTTTCAACAAGAGAAGATAAAATTCGTATCCCCAAGCGAATATGTAATATTCTATTTATCATATAATTTTATATGAAAGCAAATTATGTCGTAAAATACCTTTTTTCTTACTTGCATTATATAGAGAAATGGAGAAATATAGGTATTTCATAGATAATTATATGATAAAGCTCTATATTTTCTCAGCGCTGGATGGAAAACCTCAGACTTTTACATACTATGTAAATCATGTGTAAATTGTTTGCAAACAGACTGTAAAATTGATTTTACAGGACCAAGGTACTTTTACATACTATGTAAATTTCAAAAGACTTTGTAAATCATTTGTAAATTATTCCTCGTACTCAATGTAGATTTTTGTAAATGTGAAAAAATTGTTTGTGAAATACAATTCCAAAATATTTACATAGTATGTAAAAGACTGAGATTTTCCAGTGACTGTTATTTTTAAGCAATTGATATTTCAATTTCAATTTAATAATATTTTATATTTAATAATATTTTATATATGTTTATACAATGTTCATGATTTCATTGGCCTATAAATAGAAAAACTAATCGAGGTAGGCCAATGGATTACAATTCATATTAGATAAAAGTACAGAGAAAATAATAGAATATTGATAGACAACATCAATAGAATTGGACAGAAATTCAGGCAACAGCTGTCAATAGACAATATAACTCTAAAAAAGGGAAGAAAATTCGCATGCCATCAAACGTTTACGGTGAATCGCATATCAAGCAGACAAACATTTGAATGCACAGAGCATTCTTGTAGTTGTAGCATCTGACGCAGTCATAAAAAAACAGTCAAAAAATACCAGTTTATTTTTATCTATGTTTAGGTATTAGCGGCGCTCTTTGGAGCGAACACATACGAACCGCTGATCAACTAGATTCCATGATCTTCCCAAGASTCCTTGCATTGGCAGAACGTGCGTGGCACAAAGCACCATGGGAAGGGACGTCTGACAATGAGACGATGAAAGAAGAGTGGAAGAATTTCTCAAGTTTTCTTGTAAGGCATGAACTTAAGAAACTAGAACGACTTGGAATCAAATATCACATACCTGTACCTGGCGCAAGGTAGGAAAAATATTACTCGCTGAGAAATCTTTCTTTCAGTTTTCGGTCCAGATTCCTTAGATCATAGGAAAACGCCTTTTTCCCGTTCAAAGCGAGCGACCGCTGTTTTATTAGACAACAAACTCACTTGCGCAAAGAGACCTTACCAAAAACAAAACAAAGTACCAAAATGCTGACATTACAATAGCTCTAGAAACTTGCATGAATCTTCTCCGATTTGAGGCTAAGCCTGTATTCCCACAAGACCTAGAGTTTGAGGCTTCTGGGTTTACATGCTTAGCTTCAAATCAGAGAAAATGCAACTTTGTAGGGATATTGTAATGAAGACATTTTTTGGGCTTTCCTTTGTTGTTTTTAGACTAGAAGTCTCTGCCCATGATAGAAAGCGGTCGCTCGTTTTGAACTGGAAAAGGCATATTGTCCTCTCTGATTGGCTTGTGCGAGATCTGCTTTTCGCAATGTTACCGGTCAGCGGTATTTTGAATTGAATTTTTAGCGAAAAATGAGCAAAACAAAACAAAACAAAAAAAAAACAAAAACCGAAAAATAAACAAATAAATAAAATAAAATAATTTATCATACCGGCTTAAATGTTTGTCAGTATAGCAAAGAACTGCTCTCCATATATCTTTTCATGCCTGTAAATAAGCTTTTAGTATATAGTTTACTGACCTCCATATYGGTAACTAAACAGCTCAGTGTAATATGCAGACCGCTTTATGGCATGTGAGAAGTAATAAACTTCCGGAAATACCACAGGGAGTCCAAGCAGTGACTTTGAACCTATAATAGTTAAAAATAAAATTTTACTCAAAAAATTGGTCTACTTTTATTTTATTCAGTGTCACTGAATAAAATAAAAGTAGACCATTTTTTTGAGTAAAATTTTATTTTTAACTATTATAGGTTCAAAGTCACTGCTTGGGCTCCCTGTGGAAATACCTCAAAATAGAGGTACACTAGCTTGTCTGTTTATTACGGCCGTCAATATCGGGGACTAGTGTCGAATCATGGAAACGAGACCTCAAAGGCCTTCCATCTAAAAACACCACGAAGATCGATGTAGGCCGTGTCAAAGTTTGACAGATGTATTGGTATGTTATTTATGACAAAACACTCTTGCAAGATACMATGGAATGGAATGGATATACGGAGACTGGCCTTTGTAAGTGCTTCGTTCCCAGTGCCCTGGTCGGCGACTGTGCGTATCGCRCCATTTTTGAATATAAGTCGTAAATATTCGCTCTGTAGTGCAAGTAGATTTTTTGTCACATATCTATAGAGATTTTCGTTGATGTTGTTTTTKGGATACAACTTTACTTTCTATTTAGATTCAAAGGAAAGAAACTTCTGGYGAGAACTGTGTTACCAGGCCTCCCAGTACAGTACTCTAAGGATGGCGGGAAAACCTGGCACGACGTCACAGAACACACAGAGTTTGAGGGCAAGATTACCTTGGCAACTAGGTATGTAATTGCCATTCTAGGTAACTCTAAACTGTGAATTATCGGGGAATTGTTCTCCGTTGCCAAGACTGAGACCGACGGATATGCG